ATCATAATATGTTCCTCAAGACCCTATCTCCAAAAATAGTCACATCAGGAGTAAAGGCTTCAGAGAGGGACACAATTCAGTCCATAGCACTCTCTATGTAGCTTAAAGACTAATCTTTTTGTGCCACCATCAGGTCATAAATGAATATGCTGTAAGTAGACTCCTGCTAGGATTACCATGACCAAACATGTCCTTCTACCCACAAACTGTGGGTAGAAAGATGACTAGAATTTGTTTAATGAAAGATATTCTGAAAGGCCAACTAACATGGGATTTTTGCCTGAGATTTCTACTTTTTCTCTCTGGTTAACCCTTAGGATAGTTGAATTATTGTTGAGCAAATATGCATCCCCACCCCCCTACTCCTATGGGTAGAATATACTTCCTTGCCCATTGAGTTTGCTTTGACAATGGGCTATTAGCAGACATAATATACTAGTAAGTAAATGTTTGAAGCATGTTTGTACCTGGGGGCTTGCCCTCTCATTTTTCATTGATTGCCATAAAATAACATGAAAAGAACATTTTGGTCCAAAGAGGATGAAAGACATGTGGAGGAGACATGGGTTCAACTTGCATCTCAGAGCCAAGGCCAACCAAGCCTAGCCTTGATCAACCTAACCTCAACTGACCCAAACACCCACAAGTATAATTATGTGCAACTAAGTTTTGGGAGTTGTTTTTTTCCCCCTTAGGTAGTGGTAATTAACTACTATAGGATAATTCATATCCTCTGTTGGGGTTCTTCTGTAAAATATAAACCTAAAATATGTGTCACAAGCTTAGGGTTTGGGGAGTGGAAGATAAGGAAACTATTATAAAAGACTAGATGAATAGTGAGAAAAAAGCGGAATGTGAGAAAATGGTTACATATTATACAACAATACAATTTTGGTTAAAACCATCTGAAATAACATAGAAGAAATGATATACAATGAACTTGTCTTCTTGAGATTTTCATACAAAAATCTTCAGTTTGGAGCAGTTTCTTAAGTAGAAATAGCTAATTAAATACATTATCTAATAAATAATATAGAGTCCATTTTAGTTGGCAAAATCACCTTTATTCAATAGTGTTACAAGGGATATTTCTGTTCTTTTTGTATATTGGTAAATCACATCATTTTTTATATTTTTTATATTTCTTCTTAATTTCAAATATTTTCAAGCCAAACTGAACATGAAATGAAGAAGTGTAACTCCAGAGCCACAAAAAACATTGTAAGCAAAAAAAATATGCAACAGAATTTACACAAAATACTTTTAGAGTGCCCTTTAAAGTAGAAGTAAGGCTCTATCTTCAGCTTCAAGTTTCTCTAGAAAGAGCCAGAAAACAACAGATTTATTATCATGTTGTCAGAATTGGTGCTATTGAGAAGGTAATGAGAAATTGCTACAAACCTAAAACAACACATGCAAACTTGGAAAAGTAACACATACTATAAAACAGGGAATTTGAAACTCACACAGAAGAGAACTATAATTCTGTAAGGGAGTTTCCTGGCCATATGACTCAAATGGCAAAACACCAAGGCGGCTTATGTGATCCCAGAATCACTGCTCAGTGCCTGAAATGCAGAAGAGATAACAGTGACTCCCAAGAAAGGGTTTAGCAGAACATTAAAAGGCTATCATAATTCTGAAGGTGAGAGAAGGTTAGAAAGGAGGAAAGAAAATCAGAAAGTATAAGTAAAAAAGATTAACACTGGATTCCTACAAAACTGAAGAACTATTTAACAGATGGTACATGAGAACTTAAGAGAAAGCAGTAATTACCAGGGTCAGAAAGCTTGGTGATAGAAGACACTTTATGCTTTTAAAAATACCATATTCCATGAAATTGAAGAAATCATTGAGTATAAGAACCATCATTATTTTCCATGACATTAAAAAAGAAAAACATTGCCATCTATTCTAAGATTCATGCCAATTGTAAATGTGTTTAAAAGTGAATGAAATGTGCATCCCAAAGTGGGAGAAATATGATGTTGCTATTTCTTTTGCAGGTGACTCCTTCTTGGGGGCTGTCAGAGGAACACTGAGAGTCTAGAGGAAGGACAAGAAAAATATTCCTTCTTATTTGTTTTATATTTTTTGTTTTTTGTTCTATTGTTTTCATCATCACTCCATTTATTATGCATCAACACTTAGTTCCTGTAAATAATGTAGCAATTGTAGCAAATGTAGGTTGAACAACATTCGCATAACCAGCATCAGCGCCCTCTCTCAGTGATATCAGCACCATCCAGATGTTAGCATCAGCTCCCTGGGGTCCCACCACCATGATCCTTATTTATGGTTATTCCAATCTACCTCTTTTTCTCTCATAGACCTAGGGGTAGTAGTTGATCTTACAACTACTACTGGGGGTTATCTAAGTAGTCAATAATTATCTTTTCCATTTTCCAGCATCTAGTTAACAATAACTTAAATGATATGTTAAAATGGTTCATATGGTTTGTCTCTGATTAGACCCTATATTGATGCAACATCTGTGTGCATACACATATCAGAGAGAAAGAGGGGGAAAATAAATTGGGACATTGTTGACCTTGATAACAAATTCTGCTGGGTTGTGGAAAGAGAGACTTATATACTGAATAACTATATGACACTCCTTTGAACAAGAGCATAACATTTGATTAGCAGTGATAGGAAGAATCTGGTCTCAAAGCAGTCTGCTGGTCAAAAACTGGGAGAGTTTGAGTAATGTAAATTCACTATGCATCAATGATCATGAGTGCAATTATGTCCACTTTATGGTAAATGTCTACTATAGTTAAACAGTTGGAAAAATACTTTAAAGAAAATACCATGTGTGTATATGCCTGTTTTATTATTCACATACAAATCTGTAATTAGGAAGTCTTGAATGACCCCATTTGAATTAATCTCCTATATAACATTCAATAAAAAATTACTAGTTGTGCTAGAAGATAGAAGCAATACTAAAAAACTAAGAGAGAGAAAAACAAACAAACAGACATTGGAATAGACCAGAAGTAATAATATACTTTAAAATACAACTATGATTAATATATTTAAGAACAGATCAGAAAAGATAGAAGGTAAGGGATGGTGAGGGTAAGGGGAAGTGATCAATAGAGAAATAAAATATATATAAAAAACACAGAAATCCTGGAACTAATAGATACAATGATTGAAATTAAAAACCATATTAAATCCAATGGTTGGATTTAAACATAGTAGAAATGATTAATTTAGACAATTAATTTGGACAATTGGAATTGGACAATAGGTCAGTGAAAAGAATCCAAGTTGTAGCTTAGAGAGAACAAAGTGTGAAAAATAAAAAGTTTGCATATTCACATATGATATAAATTATTCAATATGTCTATAAATTGAGTCCTAGACTAGAAAGAGAGAAATAAGGAGTGGGACAGAAAAAAATAGTAGCAGAGATATTGGCCAAAATACTTTCAAAATTATAAAAAATACCAGAGGCCCAGTGTATGAAATCATGTGCAAATAGGGTCCCTATGCCTAGGTTGGCCTCTGTAGCATGTCCTCTGCCACTCTGTGACAGTACATAAAGCTACCCATCCCGGGATGCTCCATGATGCTTTCGGCTACTGCCCTGTCACTGCTCCACAAGGCTCCCTCCACCCCATAACTGCTCTGCAAGGCTCTCCCCTTCCCCCCTGGTGACTGCATCGTGAAATTCTCCTTGCCCCATGACTACTCCATGAAACTCCCCCTGTCCCATGACTGCTCAGTGAAACTTCCCCTAGCCACCACTGCTCAACAGTCCCCATTCCCATCCTGCCACCACCCCCCTCTCATGGCAAGCAGATCAGGGGCCAAAGAGGTGTTCCATGCACCTCCTGGTGATTGGTTGTTTGGTAGTTACAGTATTATGACCACTGGGTTTTTATTATATAGACTAGAGGCCCCATGCATAAAGATTCATGCAAGAATGGGCCTTCCTTCTCCTGGCTGCTGGCAGCACATTCACTCTGGCTGGAACCGCCTTTCTGCCTTCCCACGCTTCCCAGAGGCCCAGAGCAGCTGGGGTGGTGTGGAATGCCTGTCCCCAGCTGCTGGGCACCTGTGTATACCAATTTACTTGCCATCTTTGTTGGGTTAATTTGCATACTCACTCCTGATTGGCTGGCAGGTATTACAAAGGTACAGACAATTAACATGTTACTCTTTTATTAGGTATATAATGCTGCATAATCAAGAAGGTCTACAAGCTCAAAATGAGCTATATAAAAAATAAAACTACATCTAGGACCCTCCACTTGGAAAGGAAGAAAGAAAAACTTAAAAAGTAGCCAGAACATCGTTGACAAATGAGAAAAGGCATTACACTGGGGAAAAGTTAGTCTTCTCAACAAATAAAACTAGAACAACTAAACATCCACATGCAAAAAAGAAAGAAATGAGTGAGACACAGACCTTACACCTTTCACAAAAAGTAACTTAAAATGGATCACAGACCTAAGTGCAAAACTACAAAACTTCTTTAAGATAGGATAAAATCTAGATAACCTTGGATGTGGTGATACATTTTTAGACATATAACACCAAGGCACAATTCATGGAAAAAAAAAAAAAAAAAAGCTGTGCTTAAAAACTTGTGCTCTGCAAAATGTGCCATGAAGAGCGTAAGAAGGTAGGGCAGAGACTGAGAAAAAATTTCTGCCAAAGACACATCTGTAAAAGAACTATTACCCTAAAAATCTAAAGAACCTTATGAACAATAAGAAAACATTAAAAATGCGGCAAAGACCTGAGCAGACACCTCACCAAGGAAGAGACACAGATGGAAAAGAAGCACATGGAAAGATGCTTCACATTATGTGTTATTAAGAAATTAAAATTAAGAGAGCCGAGGATGGGAGAAGAGCCGAATGTTTGAGCAGCACTCCCAGTTTCCTCTCTTCTCTCTGCACCCTGATCTCACAGCCTGCCCTCCCTGCCCCCCTGCCTCCCTCCCCCCCGCCGTCTGATCCCCCCCCAGACCAACTTCCACCATGTCCATATCGTCAAGTTCCCACTTGAACAAAGGCACAAAGCAGATGTACATGTCCCTGCCTCAAGGTGATAAAGTCCAAGCTCTGCATATCTGGATTGATGGTTCTGGAGAAGGACTGCGATGTAAGACCTGGCCTCTGGGCAGTGAGCCCAAGAGTATAGAAGAGTTGTCTGAGTGGAATTTTGATGGCTCTAGTACTATGCAGTCTGAAGGCTCCAACAGTGACATGTATCTTGTTCCTGCTGCCATGTTTTGGGACCCTTTCCACAAGGAACCCAACAAGCTGGTGTTCTATGAAGTCTTAAAGTGCAACCACAATCCCGAAGAGGCCAATTTAAGATCTACCTAAAAATGGACAATGGGCATGGTGAGCAATCAGCACCCCTGGTTTGGAATGGAGCAGAAGTATACTCTCATGGGCACAGATGGGCACCCTTTTGGTTGGCCTTCCAATGGCTTCCCTGGACCCCAAGGTCCATGCTACTGTGGCGTGGGAGCAGACAGAACCTATGGCAGAGATATAATGAAGGTTCACTACAGGGCCTGCTTGCCCACTGGCATCAAGATCACAGGGACTGCCCTAACTGGTTTGGCTCAGTGGATAGAGCATGGGCCTGCAGACTCAAGGGTCCCAAGTTCAATTCTAGTCAAGGGCATGTACCTTGGTTGCAAGCACATCCCCAGTATGGGGCAGCTGGCAGGAAGATGCCCTCTTACCTGCCAACTGTGACCCCTTCACAGCGATCTGCTTCCCTGGCCTGGGGCTGATTGCCCTCACTGGGAGGCAAGCTCAGCATAAAGGAATGGGATGGGTAGCCCTACCTTCGAAGAAAAAGTTCTCCTTGCTTGGACCCCCATTCATAACACAAATCAGAGTAGTGTTTTCATATATAAATGCAAAAACAAACAAACGACAACAATATCTGTGTGTGTGTGTGTGTGTGTGTGTGTGTGTGTGTGTGTGTGTGCGCGCGCGAGCGTGCACGCAGATATGTGTGCTTTTTCTAAAGGAGAAAGCCCATTCTAGTCACTGGGAGCCAAATTTGAGGCAAATTAGAAATAAGGCTCTCATTTTGAGGAGGTGGGGGGTTGAGGGTGACTGTGCTTGGAAAATTGGCTGTTAGAGGCTGTCAAACCCTCACTACCGTGTCCGGGTTTATCTGTGCCTGCCCGCCCTTCTGGACACGGGTGGGCTAACAGGAGCAAACAGCAGCAGTCACCTGAGGCTCGTGACTTTGGTTTATAAAAATACATGTATGCACAGGGGTTTAGAAATATGAGTTGGCTGGTAGACTTGAACATGTATATTACTGACAAGGGGGGATTGGGTTATTTTCTGGGGGATGAGCATACCACTAAAGCAGGCCTTTTGATGTATTAAAAAAATTTTTAAAAGCAAAACCAGTTTAGATTTTAATGATATTTGCAAGGATTTGAAGTCTCTCACAGAACTGCTTCTTTGCTTCCACTGTCTCCTTCCTGTCTCGTTTTAGCAGGGAGGGGGACAGGACTGGGGTTAAACACTTACAATTTTGTATCCTGGTGTCTGTTCTGAGTGTAAAATATATTTTTTTGTTGTTCGTTAAGATTCTGAGGAGTTATTTTTCCTTTTATAGTAATAAAAAAAATTCCACCTTCAAAAACAAAAGAAATTAAAATTAAAATTAAAATGAGAGAGCACTGCTCACCTGTCAGGATGTCCCAGGTCCAGAACACTGACAGCACCATTGCTGGAGAGGAAGAGCAGCAGGAGTTTTCCTTCACTGCTGGTGGGAAAGCCAAATGGTTTAGCCACTTTGAAGGATGGTTTGGCAGCTTATTACAAAAGTCATCATGAGAAGGACTGAGAACTATCTGCAAGCAACCGCATAAACATACCTTGCAGACTTTCATGAAATAAATCATATACAGTACAATAATTGCTGCATGATTTCATTTCATCAAGTTCAAAAGCAGGAACATAAATCTATAATGATGGCAATAGTAACCAGTTATACTGGGGGCTATAATTTGGAGGAAATGAAGAGACACTTCCAGGTGCTATTAATGTCTTATATCTTGACCTGGGTAGTGGTCACATTTTATAAAATTTTATTGAGCTGCACACTTAAGATTTGTACACTTTTCTGCTCTTATATTAGGGGCATGTGGGTATAATCCTTCTGAAATGTCCCAGTGCTATACCAATTTGAGGTTATATTAAAATTGTTTTATTTTTGTACATCAAAGTAATTTTAATTCAGAAAAATCAAGAGATAGCACAGAAAAAAATGTGTCAGCAGTTAAAAATAATTACAGTCACAGAAAATTAAAAAAATAATAAAATCCTAAATTGTGATTTAAGCAAAAGGGAAGTGTTTGTGTATCTGTTTGAAGTACTTGTGTGTGCATGTATGTCTGTCTTTCAATGTAGGATAATAGCTATATACATGATATTTATAAATGTAGAGTTGAATATCAGAAGAAATAGCTAAAAATTTTTAATTTCTGATTCGCTGATAATAGAGAAGGATGACATAGAGCAGGGATTGACATTTACTGAAAAGGATCACATACTATATATTTTAGCCTATGCAAATCATATGGTCTCTAATGCAAATATTCCCCTCTGTCCTTCTAGTGTGAAATTCACCAGGTACAATATGGAAACAAATGGACATAGATGCTGTGTTCCAATAAAACAGCTGGTGGGGTATAGTTTGCTAACCTCTAGGAGAAGATGAGTAATTTTTATAATAATCATAATGTTATTGTTTAACTTTTAAGTTATATGATCCTTTGAACATAATAAAATTATTTCAAAGAAAATATATCTTAATATATTTATAGCACCATTAGAAGTAGTTTTTATATAGTTCCTCCTGTAACCCTTGAAATTATTTTGAAAACCAATGTACTATTTGCATATGTTTAAAAAAAATCTAAAAATCTTGATCATACATTTCAAATGGTGGGAATTTCATTATGTTATAAATATTGTCATTTAAAAATAAAACTAGTATACTAATCTTATAAATGTAGCCAGTGAAGACACAAAATGGCCAACAAGCACATGAAAAGATGGTCAATGCCACAAACCATGAGGGAAATGATATATCTGAAACAACTATCAGAATGAGATATCACTTTATACCTGTTAGGATGGCTATTATTTAAAAAACTAACGAGTGTTGGTGAGGATGTGGAAAACTGAAACATTGAATACTGTTAGAGGAAAAGCAAAATGATGCAGGGGCTATGGAAAACAGTCTGGAGGTTCCTCAAAACATTAAAAATAGCTGTACCATATGATTCAGCAATCCCATTTCTTGGGTATATATGAAAAAGCATTGAAATCAGGATCTCAAATATATCTGCACTCTCATGTTCATTGCAGCACTATTTGTAATAGCCAAGATATGAAAATGAGCTGAGGGTCTGTTGATAGATGAATGGATAAAGAAAATGTGATATATATATGATATGTACTTAAATATGTATATCTATATATGTACTGGGATATTATTCAGCCTTAACACAGAAGGAGATCCTGCCATTTGTGACAATGTGGATGAACCCAGAGGACATTGTGCTAAGTGAAATAAATCACACATATCGATAGAAAGACAAACATTGTAAGACCTTTCTTGTACATTAAACCTGAAATAGTTGACCTCAAAAAAGTAGTGAGGAGAAGGGTGGTTGCAAGGGCTGGGGGAGGAGAGAATGGGGAGCCCCTAATCAATGAGTGCAAATTTCAGTTAAGCAAGATGAATATATTCTAGAGTTCTCCGTACCACACTGTGCGTGTATCAAGACTATGTTGTACACACAAGATCTATGAAGAAGGTAAATGTCAAGTGTTTTTTCCACAAGAAAATAAGAACACATGTAACCAATGCCACAGTAATTTAATACTCACATTTTCTAATTTAAAACTTAGAAAAATTTCAAAATACTCCATTTTCTCTTCAATATTCTATTTCACCTTGTCTACCTTTTTATCCTCTTGTATTTTATTTTTATTATTGACTCTTTTGTTAATTTTATAAAACATACCTGCCACAAAAATATGTACATAAATTAAAATTTTATGTTTGTTAAATGCGTTTTGACCATAAGGCTCTAATTGTTCAAAAAAATTTTTGGATTGAGTTATAACTAGAACTATTAGTCATATATTATTAAATACAGTTAATATAACAAATATATTGCAAAGTTAGAAAACAATTTAAACAGTGTGGAGTTTAATTGAAAACGATTCTCATCATGAGATAACTAGGGCTGATTTTTACTTTGATAAGCTCATGTATTCCTGGATGAATATTATTTGTTGCTAAAATGGGATGGGGTAGAACACCAATCTTATTTAATTCACTGTGTGTTTTTTTGTTTTGTTTTGTTTTTTTATAGTAAGGCCTGAAAGATTTGCTGATCTAATTAAGTAAATAGGAATGAAATAACATTTTAATTTTTATTGAATTTATTGAAGTGACATTGGTTAATAAAATTATATAGGTTTCAAGTACAATGTTATACTACATGACCCGAATATTGTATTGTGTATTCAAGTCTCCTTTCTCCATTATTTATTCCCTCTTTTACCCTCTCCTACCTGCCTCCATCCATACAGAGAACAGATTGATAGCTGTCAACCTGGAGGGGCTTTGAAGGGCTATGTGAAAAAGGTAGATAAAGTAAGCAAAAAACAAAACACACGCACACACACACACACACACAAACCCTTTACAGACACAGACAATAGTATGTGAATGGATGACTTTTTCTAGCAATGTTACTTGATTCTTTAAACTTGAAGCACATGCCAAATATTATGTGGTGACATATTATCAAAAAAATATTTTAACGATGTATGAGCTGACAACTTTAACAGGGTCTGTCGTCAACTGTTTTGAAAGGAAAGAATTGAAAATTACTTGATTTGCAAAGGCATTTGTTAGTCAACAGTATATTTTAATTTCTCAACTTTAGAGAATTATATCAAGAGGCTTCACTAAGATTTATCAAATATTAATTAATCATGCCAGTTTGAGGCACTTTGCATAACCCAATAGATTCAGAAATAATTGGAAAAATCAAAACATTGATTATTTTCATACACCCCTGCTATAATATTTTTTATTAAATGCTTTTATTGTAGCATATATTTAAATACCTTTTTAAATTCAAATGCTAGAGCTGGGGATTTAGCTCCTTCAATTTGTGGAAAATAGTCTAGAGACAACCTACTAAGCAAAACAAGTTATCTCTCTCAGCAATCAGTGCAATCCAACTTTTATAAAGTCTGAGTTCATTTTTCAATTCAGAGAAATGTTCAATATTCATATCAAAGAATAAAGAAAAAAGGTA